TGTTTGTAATGCTGAAGGGTGGTTTGTGTGATCCAAGAGTAGCACGTTACAGAGAGGGCTTGAGTTTCATTCAGAAGCGACAACATTATCATCTGTTGAGAAAGCATCAGAACAACATGGTTAGCAACCTTTGTCAGATAAGAGATGCTTGGTTTAATTGCAGGGGATACAGTATCGAAGAAAGGCTTCGTGTTTTGAACATTATGAAAAGTCAGAAGAGTTTGATGCATGAGAAGATGGAAGATTTGGAGGTTGATTCTTCAGATGAGGAGTCTGGTGAAGGTAGGTGGAGTAGGAGGAACAGGAACAAGGATAGGAATGCTGCCAAGAAAATTGGTCGTGTTCCTTTCCCTGGGGTGGGTTCTGGTTTGGAATTTGACCCACGACAGCAACATTCAGTGGCTATGGAACAAGAAAAGTATGGAAAGCAAATCCCAAAGGGAATACTAAGGTTGGCTGGTTCAAAGGCATCTTCGGCGAAGGACTCAACCGGTCACTTGTCTTCTATTTACCATGCTTTGGATATGAATCCTGGGCTTAAGGGCTCTGGTACAGCTCTTTCTCAACAGAATAAGTCAGGGTCATTGCTCAGGGTGAGGGATCAGCTGATGAATGGTGATGATGACGAGATGTCATATGGATTAAATGTCCATCGAGATTTAGGCAGAAACCTGATGGACAAGTCTGGTGTTATGAGAGTGGGAAAGAGGCATGACCTTCTTAGACGTGATGAAGTTGATACTGATAACTTGGTGGGTCTGCCTTTGTCTTTGAAGGGTGATCTACTACATGGATACAATATAAATACAAACCAATTTTCAGACATGAAAATGTTCACAGCGAAGCCATCTTCTAAGAGAGGTTCCTATGATTTTCCTAGAAAGGCCAAGTATCCTGAAAATGTTCAACAATCTGTTGGTAATGATCAGGTGAGGTCTAGATTGAGGGGTTCACAGATGCCACTTAAAGGCAATCTGGCTGGCTCATCAGATTATAACGAACTTTTCTACAACAACAAAACACCAGCAGAGGATTATGGCATGGATTCAACATCTAAATATGATGATTGGAATTCTAAGAGTAACAAATGGAAACCTGGGAGAGACTCTTCTGGTCTCAGTTACGCAGCTTATAGATCTTCATCGCCACAGGTGAGTGATAGATTACCATCCTCTGACTACAGAGCAAAATCATTGCAAGAGAAGTCCAGGGGATCTTTTATACAGAATGGAGGGAACACTACCAAGCCTTTGAAAGGTACCCAGATGTTTCTAAGAGGTGAAGAAACTGAATCAGACTCATCAGAGCAGTTGAATGGTGATGATGATGATGATAATCCTTTGTCGCAGAGCAAATTTGCTTACTTCATGGGTCCCGCTGATGGTTCTCGCAAAAAAACATTGAAGTCTCAGCTAGATCCTAAGAAGGCCAAATTTGTCAGGACAGATGTGAAGGCACATGCATTAACACAATCCAAAAAGAAGGGAGGCTTTTCTGATCTGGGGCATGTGCATGGTGTAGAAAGTTACCTTTCAAAAGGAAAGCAGAAGGGTAAAATACGCAGCGGCGGTCCTTTGCATAACCCAACTGGTAAAATTATGGAAGAGAGCTATCCCTCAGAATCAGATATGCTTAGTGATGATGATGATTATTGGAGACAGTTATACAAGATAGGCAAGAATGGCCGAATGCAAGGTGAACCCGTTGAAAAGTTGGACAGGCCCTTGTCAAGTGCTTATGCTGCTGAGCGCAAGAAGAAAGGGAAAACTGTCCATGATCATTTCATCCCAAGGCCAAAATATGTGCATGATGTTGTTGGTGATGAGGATGTCTCACTTGAAAAACAATTGCTGATGGATGATAATGGACTTGGACAAAGTAGGGCTAAGAAAAAAGGGCAGAAATATGTTGCATATAAGGGTGATCAAAGTGAAGGATCCGAGGCACCATTACATGGCTGCAACTCAGCAACGAAGAAGCGAAAAGCAGCAGAACTTGGTGGAGACAAAGATGCTAATCTTCTGTCACACACTCTTACCCAAAATGATTCAATTTCCTTGAAAAGAAAGTCAAAGAAAAAACCAGAGTCTGAGATGGTTATTTCAGAAATTGAAAATTCTGAACTGCCTATTACTGATATGGGGACAGCAGATATGGAGCTCAAAACCAAGCCACAGAAAAAGCAATTTACTTTGATCACACCTACTGTTCATACAGGGTTTTCATTTTCTATTATACATCTTCTTTCAGCAGTCCGCACAGCAATGATTAGCCCATTTGCAGAAGAAAGTTTAGAGGTTGGGAAGCCTAGAGAAGAGGAAAATAAAGCACAGGGAGACAGTGTCAATGGTGTTCCTTCTAATGACAAGGTAGCTGGCAATTTTGAACCTGCTTCTGACCAACCTAATATGCCTTCCCTTACTGTTCAGGAGATTGTTAATCGAATCAGATCGAACCCTTGTGATCCTTGTATTCTTGAGACACAGGAGCCACTGCAGGATTTGGTCAGAGGTGTTCTGAAGATATTTTCTTCCAAAACGGCACCATTAGGAGCAAAGGGCTGGAAGGCTCTAACAGTTTATGGAAAATCTACCAGAAGTTGGTCATGGATTGGCCCAGTTTTACATAATTCACCTGATCATCGTACCGTTGAGGAGGTGACATCTCCAGAAGCTTGGAGTCTTCCTCATAAGATGCTTGTCAAGTTAGTAGATTCCTTCGCTAATTGGTTGAAATGTGGTCAAGAAACTCTTCAGCAAATAGGAAGTCTTCCCGAGCCACCTTTGGCATTGATGCAGGTCAACCTTGACGAGAAAGAGAGGTTTAGAGACCTTAGGGCCCAAAAGAGTCTTAACACTATAAGCCCAAGCTCAGAGGAAGTGAGGGCTTATTTCCGCAAGGAGGAAGTTCTCAGGTACTCAATTCCTGACAGAGCATTCTCTTATACTGCAGCTGATGGTAAAAAATCTATTGTGGCACCTTTGAGAAGGTGTGGTGGTAAGCCAACATCTAAAGCCCGAGACCATTTTATGCTGAAACGTGATCGGCCACCACATGTAACAATTCTCTGTCTTGTCCGAGACGCAGCTTCTAGGTTGCCTGGAAGTATTGGCACCAGAGCAGATGTTTGTACATTAATTCGGGATTCTCAGTATATGGTTGAGGATGTTTCTGATGCACAAATTAACCAAGTAGTTAGTGGGGCCTTGGATAGATTGCATTATGAACGTGATCCTTGTGTACAATTTGATGGGGAAAGGAAATTGTGGGTTTATTTACACAGAGAAAGAGAAGAAGAAGATTTTGAGGATGATGGCACTTCATCCACAAAGAAATGGAAGAGGCAGAAAAAAGATGGTGCAGATCAGTCTGATCAAGGAACAGTAACTGTTGCTCAGCCTGGGACTGGGGAGCAAAGTGGAGTTGATTTGTGCTCAGATCTCAATGCGGATCCACCAGGCGTCAATGAAGATAAGGGAATGGAACATTTGTCTAACGATACAAGGCTAAATAATGCAGAGGACCTTGTTTATATCAATAATGCAGAGGACCTTGTTGATGTCAATCATGTGTCTGAAGATGCCAATGTTTGTGAAGGTAATTCAATGGCTTGGGAGGCTCTTGGTTTAAATCCTCCTCCGGAGATATGCCAAGAAAATTCAACAAATGAAGAATTTGATGATGAATCCTTTGGGAGAGAAAGGCCTTCTGGACTGCAAAGTGCAAGTTTGGTATGAAGAATTTTTCAGGTAGTTCTTTACCTCATCTTGAAAGTGACTCAAGTGAGAATAATTGTGTGAAAATGAGAACTATTGACATAGACCATTAGATCTTATTTGATGGTCAAGATTAAAAAGATAAATGCACATGACTTTGTTAAAGTGACATCTGACCATTAACTAACTTTGAATCTTAACCATTCATGCATGGTTGAATGACCCAAATTTATTGTTCTCATAATTTTTATGGGAATTGTTTTCACTTGATTCACTCCCCATCATCTATATCATAACACCTTTGTTTATGAGGTTACTTAAGAAAAGAAAGAGTGAATATTTACTTGCTAGGGTTGTTGTTTTGAGAACTAATTTGTTAGTGCAGATATATGGAATTAAATGCTCCTTTGTTTTGGTTTATTGTTCTAGCTCTAATATTACATTATAAAAGAAACTCTCTAGGAATTCTAAACATCTATTCAATAATATTTGTGAGTTGACTTATACAAAGACATACATGTTTGTGCAGGCTTTTAGTATATCCGTGCATTAAAGAGTTCAGTGATGGTGGTTGTAGCTGTGCTTGTATATAATGCAGGGCCGGTATCTTTTGTATACTGATTTGATGAGGAAGAAGAAATAGAATAGAGAAGAATAGAATGTGATTTTGATGAATATGATGATGGGTATTTGGTTAGCTTAGCTTGGATGTCATTACGGCTTTACATCCCATCAAAATACATTTTGGGTCAATTAATGTTCCACAAGTTGGTTTCTATGTGGCGTTGTTGTATTGCAACGCAAAATTATTATTTTATCTGTATATGTATACATATATGCTTCACAGGCCCAGCAATTTTAAATAGTTACATTAGACACTTGTGGATATAAATATAGTGTCTGCAATTGATAAAATTGACGTTTTTATACTTGCAAGATCAAATTGACCAATAATGTTTATCTGGAACCATTGATTTGATACATTATTTGATTACAAGTGCCAATCGGTTGAGACCATTGGTTTAGGTTTAAATGGTTTGACTAATCAAGAATGGTTCATCATGTAGAATTCTACGATGATAAAATCAGCCCATTTGATTTGTCCTACCTGCATGTAATACCCAAACTGTTCATCACCATCTTTAGGATCCCAAACTGACTATAAGGAGCAAAATTGCCTATGGCAGTATACAGTAAATGGCTTATCACAATACTAGCCATGAGCATGACATTTATTCAAGTTCTTTGTAAACTCCAAATTCTGTGTTCAATACTAGCCATGATCTCATGACAATGACAATAGTTTTGAACGCCTTGATTTAATGCAAACAAGCAGAGGCAAATAAGTAGAGAGGTAACAGTGCTCATTGCTCTGCTTAAGAAGTTGCTCTTCGGTTATCTATATTCTTCAGTATAGCATTAGGGTCAATGTGCGCCTCTAGATGAAATTGTGGTTTTTGTGGCTATAGTTTCAACAAGCGATTTTTTGTTTTTCCAGTAGAGGTGAGCCTCGGCGTAACAGTAAGGTGACCTGAAGGTCTAGAGTTCAAATCATGGAAACATATATTTCATTTGTAAGAGTAAGATTGCGTACATCTAACCTCCTAGACCCACTAGGTGGGAGCCTCATGTACTAGACCACTTTTTCTGTTGAAGTCTTTTAAGCTAAATAGTAAATACTAAGGAACTTGGCATTATCTTTGCTCATGACTAAGGAACTAGCATCGTGTCATTACCAAAATACATAGGGACTTGGTTTGCAGTGGACTATGCTCTTTAATTTTTCAGTATATAGTACCATTTCTTTTTGGAGGGTGTCTTTTCCAGCAAAACCATTAAGGGATATTGACTAGTATGAATGAGAAAACAGAATAGTTTAATACTCAATTAAAGTCAATTAACTTGTTCTTTTCTTTTGACAGCAGTTCTGAAGTTGGCATAATCTTCCATGCAATGGATTCAGTGGAATCACCACCTACATTTTAGGACCAACAGTTTCACAAGTCCATATCAGGAAATTGTTGATGCATATGGGTGAGCGTAATATTTATTGCGTTTAGTTGTAGCAACAAGAATACTTTAATATCTTGAAATGATGTTTTGGAGTGTCTTGTAGAACATTATTTTTCTTCAAATTACAAATGTGTGGCAATATGCTATCCCTCTCTGGCTCTATAAAATAGATTGATAAAATTCTGGTTAGTGTAAGTAGAATTGTTACAAAGAATTTTGACCTAAATGGTCTATAGTTGACTCCACATAGTGGCTAAAGGCTTTGGTTGTTGTGTATGTCGAATTGGAGGAAGTTAATTTATCATAGTACTTTTATCTTATTGATGGTGCTGCTAATTGTTTGATTAGTGTATGTTCTATGTCTATGTTGTAGACCTTTTTTTCTGAAAGGATAAATGTGAGGTGAAACAAAACTAAATTTGTAAGTTCTTGATTATAAAATATTTTTTAAACGAAGTTCATTGCTTGAAGGTCATTTTCCAGTGAGAGGCTTATACCAAGCTCTTGCTATTGCTGCTATGTATGTCCAAGAGCAGCCTAATATGCATCTCGCAATAGCCGATGTGGTTACAGCTCTAAACTACCTCGCATCTCCAAAATTGATCCTCATATTCGTTCAGTGCAATGCAGCCAATTCCACGAAAACAGCTTGTCTTCTCCAAGAATGAGAAGGAATGATCATAGACATGTTGATATGTGATAGCAGTGGTTCTAAGTCAGGCTAATCTGAAGACTAGAGAAGTTGCACTGTTTTTTTGGTTATTTGTTTCTTTGTATGTTCAAGATTTACAAAGAAACAAATAGCTCCAGTATATGAAAGTGCCCAAAATCTTGAATATACAAAGAAACAACTTTTATGAAGTTGCAATGTTTTCTTTCAAGTACCCTTTCTTTCACCACAGATAGGACTACCCTGTTGAATCTTTTTTAATGTTACACAAAAGTTGTAATAGGATATCTTGATAGTTTTTGCATACTCTCTCCAAATCAAATGTTTAAAAAAGGTGTAAAAAAATAGCACTACCATATAATATTTTTTATAAAAACAGATAAAATTGTTGGTTGAAATATTGTCTGACTTATTGTTTCATTGAAACTAGGACAATTCAGTGTCATGAGTCACATTGTAGAAGTATTATAAACTGTCTCAAAAGATATACTCCAACCAAACTGCAACTGGTAATATGTTTTGTTGAATATGTTTAGTTGAAGAGGATGAAACATTATAATGTTCAAACTTTGTTCTGTGAACTCTTCTAGAAATTGGAAATGTCATAGGCAAATACTAGTAGTATCTTGAAATATGTATAGGAAACAAGAATGGGAAACAGTGGAAAAAAATATGTTACCCTATCTGTGTTACATGCTACAATTCAGTAACTTCACCATCCCTACAATTGGTTACCATTAAGTACATAGTTGACTGCTCTAACACAACAATAACAACAAGTATTTATGATTCAGTTAATAACTTACTCTATATAATTAATATGAGTAAGGATCTTCTCTAGTATTGGAGGGACATGTGATTAAAAATCAAAAGGGAAATAATTCCAACCAAAGGATCTTGACCTTTGATGACAACAATAAAATTAAATTAGTTTAAAGGTATACTAATTTAACATCTTTTACTAGGTCAAAAACAAGGATTCAATGGTTAAAGTAAAATATATATAGTATAATGCACCAGTTCAGACATCTTGAAAAGGTGTTCTAGTCCTCCACATCCATGTTATAACAAATGCATCAAGAAATTTAATTAATATATTTATTTATATTAAACTAATGTAACATTTACTTAATTTATCCTTTATTGTCTATATACAATATTCAATCATATTTTGTCTTAACAATTATTATAATTAACGAAATAAAAAAAGATAGATAAAAACCAACAACTTCCTCTAGAAATACACTTAAAAGAGCAAGTATAAAAATATTTGCATGACCATAAAAAATATAGCAATTATGGAGTAGTTTGATAAAGATTAAAGTATTCCCAAAAAATGATCTAAAAAAGTAATTTAACGAAAGTAGGGTGAAACGACGACGTTGGAAGCAAAAAAGTATTTAATTTGTCCAAATTTGAAATAGCGGGATCCAACGATCATAAGTTAAAAACGGTGTGGGCCCAGGTCGAGTTACAACTCACTCGCTGACTCGTCTCGGTGACTCAGTTTGTATCTCTTACTCACTCAATGACTCGTTTCCTCTTTCTAACTTTTCTCTGCATTGCCTCTTTCATTTCATCTTCCTTTCTCTTTGGTGGGTGACCCTTTTCGTCTTTTCACACTTCCTATCAGCAACACTTCTAATCACACGGTTCATATTATCCCACGTCATCATCTTCATTATTCTTCTTCACACCCACACCTTCCCCTTTCTTTCTCTCTCACACATTTATCTTCTACGTTTAGGGTTTCCTTTTCTCACTTCCACCGCCACATTTTCATTCTCCAAATTTCTTTCATTCTTTTTCCTCTCTCACTATTTGTTTCAATTACTACACTCTTCCTCTCTCTATTTCATCACCCTGCCTTCTTCTCTTTCAATTAATCAGGTTTTATTCTACCCCCAAATCATATCGCTTCTTATCCCTTTTCACTATTTTTCGATTTTTTTATCTCAATTTTGTTTAATGTTCATCTGGGTTTAATTATTATTGTTTTTCATTTAAAAAGTTACTTTTTTTTGTTATCTTTGTTCTAATTTGTGGTTACTGAATTTGCTAGGGTTTTGATTGAGATTTGTTCGTGGGGTGTTCTAATTTTTGAAATCACGATAGTATATGGTATGGTTATGTTTGATGGCAATTGAAAAAAACAACTTTAAGGTGCCGAAGCTTGATTCTGAGTGTTCGCCCAGAAGTAGGGAAGCTATGTCTAGTGATGAAGATGAGGCTCGGGGCCATAACTCGGCCGTTGAATCTGACGATGACGATGAATTTGATGATGTGGATTCCGGGGCGGGGTCCGATGATTTTGATTTGCTGCAATGGGGTGAAACAAATGCAGAGTTTTGTCAGATTGGGAATCAGACTTTCAGTATTCCACTGGAATTGTATGATCTTGATGGTCTCAATGATATATTGTCGGTTGATGTGTGGAATGAGTGCTTAAGTGAGGAAGAGAGATTTGAACTTGCCAAGTATTTGCCTGATATGGATCAAGAGAATTTCCTTCATACCTTGAAGGAGCTTTTTACTGGTAGCAGCTTGCATTTCGGGAGTCCAATTAAGAGATTGTTTGTAATGCTGAAGGGTGGTTTGTGTGATCCAAGAGTAGCACGTTACAGAGAGGGCTTGAGTTTCATTCAGAAGCGACAACATTATCATCTGTTGAGAAAGCATCAGAACAACATGGTTAGCAACCTTTGTCAGATAAGAGATGCTTGGTTTAACTGCAGGGGATACAGTATCGAAGAAAGGCTTCGTGTTTTGAACATTATGAAAGGTCAGAAGAGTTTGATGCATGAGAAGATGGAAGATTTGGAGGTTGGTTCTTCAGATGAGGAGTCTGGTGAAGGTATGTGGAGTAGGAGGAACAGGAACAAGGATAGGAATGCTGCCAAGAAAATTGGACGTCTTCCTTTCCCTGGGGTGGGTTCTGGTTTGGAATTTGACCCACGACAGCAACATTCAGTGGCTATGGAACAAGAAAAGTATGGAAAGCAAATCCCGAAGGGAATACTAAGGTTGGCCGGTTCAAAGACATCTTCGGCGAAGGACTCAACAGGTCACTTGTCTTCTATTTACCATGCTTTGGATATGAATCCTGGGCTGAATGGCTCTGTTATTGCTCTTTCTCAACAGAATAAGTCAGGGTCATTGCTCAGAGCGAGGGATCAGCTGATGAATGGTGATGATGACGAGATGTCATATGGATTAAATGTCCATCGAGATTTAGGCAGAAACCTGATGGACAAGTCTGGTGTTATAAGAGTGGGAAAGAGGCATGACCTTCTGAGAGGTGATGAAGTAGATACTGATAACTTGGTGGGTCTGCCTTTGTCTTTGAAGGGTGATCTACTACATGGATACAATAGAAATGCAAACCAATCTTCAGACATGAAAATGTTCACAGCGAAGCCATCTTCTAAGAGAGGTTCCTATCATTTTCCTAGAAAGGCCAAGTATCCTGAAAATGTTCGACAATCTGTTGGTAATGATCAGGTGAGGTCTAGATTGAGGGGTTCACAGATGCCACTTAAAGGCAATCTGGCTGGGTCATCAGATTATAACGAACTTTTCTACAACAACAAAACACCAGCAGAGGATTATGGCATGGATTCAACATCTAAATATGATGATTGGGATCCTAAGAGTAACAACTGGAAACCTGGGAGAGACTCTTCTAGTCTCAGTTACGCAGCTTATAGATCTTCCTCGCCACAGGTGAGTGATAGATTTACATCCTCTGACTTCAGAGCAAAATCGTTGCAAGAGAAGTCCAGGGGATCTTTTATACAGAATGGAGGGAACACTACCAAGCCTTTGAGAGGTACCCAGATGTTTCTAAGAGGTGAAGAAACTGAATCAGACTCGTCAGAGCAGTTGAATGGTGATGATTATGATGATGATGATGATAATCCTTTGTCGCAGAGCAAATTTGCTTACTTCATGGGTCCCGCTGATGGTTCTCGTAAAAAATCATTGAAGTCTCAGCTAGATCCTATGAAGGCCAAATTTGTCAGGACAGATGTGAAGGCACATGCATTAACACAATCCAAAAAGATGGGAGGCTTTGCAGATCTGGGGCATATGCATGGTGTAGAAAGTTACATTTCTAAAGGAAAGCACAAGGGTAAAATACGCAACGGCGGTCCTTTGCATAACCCAACTGGTAAAATTATGGAACAGAGCTATCCCTCAGAATCAGATATGCTTAGTGATGATGATGATGATGATTGGAGACAGTTATACAAGATAGGCAAGAATGGCCGAATGCAAGGTGAACCCGTTGAAAAGTTGGACAGGCCCTTGTCAAGTGCTTATGCTGCTGAGCGCAAGAAGAAAGGGAAAACTGGCCTTGATCATTTCATCCAGAGGCCAAAATATTTGCATGATGTTGTTGGTGATGAGGATGTCTCACTTGAAAAACAGTTGCTGATGGATGATAATGGACTTGGACAGAGTAAGGCTAAGAAAAAAGGGCAGAAATATGTTGCATGTAAGGGTGATCAAAGTGAAGGATCCGGGGCACCATTACATGGCTGCAACTCAGCAACGAAGAAGCGAAAAGCAGCAGAACTTGGTGGAGACAAAGATGCCAATCTACTGTCACACACTCTTTCCCAAAATGATTCAATTTCCTTGAAAAGAAAGTCAAAGAAAAAACCAGAGGCTGAGATGATTACTTCACAAATTGAAAATTC